TATATCTTTTAAGTTTGATATAAAATTGCTGGGCGGTAGTATTGCTATAGAATTAACAGCTGCTAATTTACTTTTTTTGAAATGACAGCAAATTAGTGATTTAGTAGTCTTGGCCAACACGGTAAGGAAGGCGACCTCTACTTCATAAGCCGAGAGCTCGTACCGCCAGATCACCAAATGCCCGATATCGAATTTCCCATACTTGTGTARCTTGGAAATGCTATTCGGCCGGCCAAGAGTAATAGTTTCGTAAGTATGACTTAAGGCGGGAAACTTGACCATTCTCGCAGTRGTATCCTTTACGACTATTTTCCCGTTTTTGTAAACTTTAAGGCCGTGGTCAAGATGCCAAGTAAATGCGAAATGAAACCAGGCTTTTGGAAGGAAGTCTAAAGTAATTTTCCATTCTTGGTTTTGTGTTGAGAGTTCGAGGACAAAGCGCTTCGTTGTCTGTTGGCTGTCGCTGTCGGTGGAGGTTGCRCTTGCGCAGTTCAAACAAATGAAACGAAATCCTGGTCCACTCTGATGATCGGTGTAACGTCCACCAGACAAAATAAACTCGCCTGCAAAAGATTAAGTAAAGATTAAATTTTAAAAGAATTGCATTCATTCAATGCTCTCAGCTATTCCGAGTTTTAAGAGCTAGTGTGACCAAGGCTGCAATGGAAGCAAGYGTGACCATACAAATGCTATGAGCTAAAAATGGGTTAACGCAGAATCCCTGTTATAACACCTCRCCCCAAACAACAATGGCAACAATGAAAAAGGAATACCGTCTTTAATAAAAAAATGACCAAAAAGGAATACTGTGTTCCCTCAGCCTTGAAAACAGACTCCGGGCACAGTTTTTCCCTAACAGAACTTCCTTTTTGTAGATGAATTATGCGCAATGGATGCCTTATGTCTCGGCGCAGGTTTATCTAACACTTACCAGCGTGATATTTAAGCCAAAAGGCAACTGTCAAGCCTTTACTGCAAAGTGTAGGATCATTAATACATTTGCTACGAATACCACTWATGATTATCCAGTCATCGATCCCGTCCAGGGAGAGCACGTCACCAAGTTGATCCGCGGATGTAGTACGTACTCCATTGTAAGTTAGTGTCTTACARCTTCCKCGCACATCAAGGAGAGTTTTAGAACTYGAGGTTGCATTGAATGGCCAGTAATGAGCTGCATTTGGATACCGCGAACCTGATAAAAAAGACAATAAAATTGTRAGTAAGAAATTTGTAGCGAGTCCGGAACCGAGGCATGAGCATCTCGAGCAAGAACCACTAGAATAAGGTTCCAAGACACTGATTGGTTTATAAGGGTACGTAGGTCATGATCACGTACCCTACAAGTTACTTGGTTTAAAAGGGATCACGTGACCGTACGAGTTAATTTGGTTTAAAGGTGTAGGCCTGGACGTGACCTACTTTTAACACGTTGGAATGCAATAGTCATTAAACTTATTCCGTAAGTCAGTGTTTTCGCTCTTTTATCGACGGCAATACGGTACGATGAAGTTGAAAGCTAAGTTTACAAACGGCTACAGTCGTATCCATAAAATATTCATAAACATACGAAAGAAGATTTTCCGAACCTAATCKGACAGATAAAAACAGATGAGGAAAGAATAGAACAAGATAGTTCAAAAACGAAAACAAGGGGAAAATCGAAAGGAAAAAATATTGTTTTATTCAGGATTAAAAGTTTATTTTGTGAAGCTGATGTTATTGTTTGAATTCAAACACTAACAAAATACTTGTACACTAAATTTAATAACAATCAATTGTTGAAGTAGCGGAGTTTTTTAGAATCATTAAATTTGTTGTTTTAAACTCAAAGACGAAAGAGAAAATGARGTGAACTTATAGACACCTAAATTCCGAGAGAGCGGCTTTACATGAAAAAAAAAATGTAATGCATCAAAAATTGGTGGTAAGGGCTATATATATATATATATAAATAGGATTATGCCAATATTAAAACATGAATAAATTGAATGCCTTGGGTATAACTGAGCTGTACATATACTGTTCCCTATAATCCAAAACACGTTTAAATTTTAAATACTGTCAACCTAACGTTATGGTTCAATCTATAAACCGGTACGAATGCCAATATCTTCAGGTGAATTGATGTACGTACGTAATACAGTGTCGACACTGTTTGCTCTCTCAACTCTTTTTCATGAGTTTTTTCGATAGCACCTTGCTGATTAAACTTAAATGAGTCGTTAAAACCAGAAAGCTAAAAACCCAAAATTGAAATCCTTTCAAAAAATGGCTGGATTACAATTTAGATTCAGCCAGGGGCAACGAGAGAAGAATGGTCAACATTCCACGCCATCTTGAAATGGAGGTGTGTGTGTTTTCAGAGAGATTTCACTACATACCCTCTTCTTGTTTCAACTCTTCTTTCCATCGAGGGCCCGTGATGTTCGATGAATTATTTCTGTCTTCACAAGATGAATTTTTACACCGAGCGCTAACTGTGCTATTCAAGACTGCACAAAAAAATACAAAACACCCAGCGAGAATAGCATTCCGAAGAAAACTAAGACAAGCCATGTCAATCAATGAATTCTCAGTATTCGCCGTCTTCTGAAATGCTCGTCYTTAAATTGCAATAGTGATTTCTAATTTCAAAACCGTATCGAGATTTTAAATTCTTCTAAGTAGATATCCCACTGTGGTAGYTACTTCAAATCACAGTACTTTGGAGTAGCCAGACTTCATTGTGGCTCTGTTACCTCCCAGAAAGTTTCTGCCACCAGTACCCGTGGTCTTAGACTAWAATCTCTTGAGCTTCCTGCATTCCTTCCCTTCCCCGACAGAAACCTTCTCCTTCACCGTTGATCTGATTTCTTATCTTCAACACAGCTTAGATTCAACAAGGTTTTTTGAACCAAAATAACCACTAGCGTGATGTTTTGCAAGCGAATAAATTTACGCCGAGAATTTCTTATTAATTTAGTGGTGAAGAAGAGCTTCAATTAGGGTTTATTAATTTGCCCAAAGTAATAATTTTACTCTATTCAAACTCTATGTGACAGTTTGAACAARCAGCGATTATTTGGCCAAAATTGATTGGAATTTTATGAAGTTTGTTGCTTATTGTGTATAATGGTTTCAGACTCCTGGACGCGGTTTGTTAGGCTACTTGGTGGGGACCATGTTTGCTATGCTACCTTATAGTGATAATGTAATTTATGCTTCGTGCAATGGTATAGCTATGTAAGAAAGTTGGAAAAAATCAAATTACTGCAAGTACGTTAAATGATAAAAAAGGATTACTCCGTCGGTGTCCTCGAGGAAATGAAATAAAAGGAAAAAAATTTCAGAAGAAAAAATAGTGTCCRAGATTTTTTCATCAAGAAATAATAATAAGAGCGATAAACAGTTTTAGTAGTTAGTGCCATAATTACTTAGTTATTAAACCTTGTTATTATTATCTACGAGGTAAACGAGGAATTTCCATTTGATTAACGCCTCATTAGAATCAAGAGATTGTGAGTTGTAAGAGTAATTCTTATTCTTTTTAGTTTTGTGTCAATGGGCTAGAAACGTCTATGAAAGTGAGTTCTACAGCAGGAGGCAATCCTACCTGACTGGGACGAAAATTATGAACCTCAAAACGATGAAATAATGAAACAGCTGAAACATTACTAGCGGGGGAGGAGGGGGGAGGGCCCAGGATCCTGAAACACGCGCTATTTTTTCCCGAAATCCAGTGTCCCTCGAAAATCAAACATAATGTCAGGGGGRAAATCAGAAAATACAATAAATAAATGAAAATCAGAAAGCAAAATCCCGCATTCCGGACATTGAATTCCGCAAATCCCGAGTTATCACGGCCGTTGTCAATATTCCGAATCACGTAAAAAAAAATAGTTTCCCGAATCCCGCRCTATATTTCATCCCTTTATTCCCGGCTCCCGCGAATACACCTCCGGATCCAGCCCCAGTAGTTACTAGCTTAGTAGTAACGAATTTATTCGTTGCTTTCTTTTTCTAATTTATTGCCTCATTACTCGTATGCTATGCATTGTCTAATTTGTCTCCGTTCATTCTGCTAAAGTCCAACGACAATTAATWCTAGTGCAAAATTGTCATCTGTCCGCAAACGAATAAAAAAGTAGACATTGTTTTTAAGCTATTCTTCGGAATTATTTGCATTAAAATAAACAAACCAAAGAATACCTTTATACTTCTTATTCTTTCATTTTTTTCATTTTTTATTTTTTATTTTGTTGATATATCTCCGCATTTTTTTYCGATGAGCTTGGGATGAATTAATCAGTGGATCTTCAGTCCATTCCAGCACTAATCAATCTAATGATGTCTTCAATTATTTTTGATTTGATAAAGCCATGTAGGATGCTTAAGTTTTAGTAYCAATTGTATCGTTTCATTGCCATAATGAAAAAAAATAGTTTCATAGCTGAATTAGGCAAGTGTCGCTTAAATATATTTACTGAGGTACTGAATCGGTTAGGTTTGGGCCAGTTCACTATATGTGGAAATATAGTGGAAACATAGTGGCAAATATAGCGACCGGAAAATAAATTGCTTGAAATTTTCTAAACGATTGACTAGTTCGTAAAACTTTATTTTTTTTGCAGTTGAAATAAAATTCATTACAATAAACAAGAACATCAAAGAAAGATTTATTCTAAAAGATTAAAAAAACTAGAGCAATCAAGGTCTACCTTAAAGTAATAAATTTTTTCCAAGGTTCTTCAAGTAACAATATTGCGACAACAATGCCGGTTTCAATTCAAGGTTCACACATCAAGTCCAAACTCGACTTGGAACTATTGTTAGTTGTGACTCTAAATCACTATTATTTAAGTGTCTAGTCGTTCTAGCGCTTTCGCACTAATTGGGGACACTTTTCGCTACGTTCAATATTCTATGCACACAACGCTCAACTCACATGTTGATTTTTACGGAGGGAGGAAACCGGAGAACCCGGAGAACCCGGAGAACCCGGACAAACTCAATTCACAGCCGCGAACGCCACACATGCTACCCGATCTAGCGATGACGGTTTTCAAGTAAGTCATATACCGCTGTGTTCCCCGATCACAGGCTCATTTATATAGGCTTGGTCTCATTACAGAGTCCAAATAGTCCTTTTTTGAAATACTATTCCACGCAAACACATGTATATTCAAAATAATTCTAGACGCAATCGAGACTAACCCCGTAAAAAAGAGAATCACCGAAACTAGAGTATTTGGGGAAGGTCTATTCCCAATAAAATGAAACATGATGYTTCTGTATTAATATATGCCAATCATAATCAAAATTTCATTTGTTATAAAATAGGTACCAATAGTCCTGATTACAGTTATTCCACAAGGACGCCAGTGTCACGCTGCGTCGTTAAAGAAAAAAAAGTTACCAATTAACTAGTATCACTAGGAGCCCGTAAACTCTCTTCGATGATTGGCTTACTTGTCTGATAACGTTGGCCAAATTTTGATATCTAGATATATCTATATAAATGGTAAAGATAGGTGATAATGTCGTCAATGAGCCGGTGTGTTGTAGTCAGCAATTTTCAGCACCTGTAAGCGACAAGTTTGGATTCAACTTCCTTGCCATGTGTCTCGATTTGTGGTGTTGTAAGTACAGTATAATACATGCCAAAAGATTGAAAATTTATATTTCCTTTTGTGTCCTTAAACCTTTTTCTTTGCTAGACCGGGTTGGTGCGCAATCTCTATTTTTGTATGCCCCATAATGCTTTGTGTCTTGGGGGGTAACCAATCAAAACACTGTCCCGAAATGAAACTTTCTTCGATTTAATGTGCACTATACTTACCTGCTTTTATCTGTACAATATTGATTATCGGTTCATTCTGAGTTAATTTCTCACTTTCAGAATATCAAAAGGTTTGKTGTTACAGAAAATGTATTTACTTACGAAAAATATTTAAAATTTACTTTAAACTTCTTCAAGATTCTCTTTCTCTTTCTGTTTTTTATTTCTTCATTTTATTTTTGGATACCAAAAGAGGTATTTCAAACATCGTCTGATCAGCCTTCAAGCAAGGTAATTCCAGTTTTTTTCCTCTGTTAACCCCTCAAAGCCGCAAAGCATTATGGGTATGGGAAAGTTTTAGGGACTCGGTGTGTGTATATATATATGTGTATGTATGTATATAATGTGTGTATATATATATATGTATGTGTACA